TAAGGGCTCTCTGAGTTCATTAATGCTTCTTTGTTAGCAGATTAAAGAAGTTGTTGTGTCACTGAGGTGCATTCCACAAAGAGCATAGTTTCCAGTTTACCCATACTTGTCCAGTTGCACAGTTAACCCATCATTAGCCAGTTTCATACAGCTGGCTTGTTTCCTTTCTCAGGTTCATTCATAGATACACAGGTAGCAGTGCTGGAGAATTACTGGGTACTTGATTTGGCATGGATGAACCATGAAGCATATTTATTTAAGAAATAAAGAAAGGTTAAAAATATGCCACAGAATGATACCGTGACTCTGTTTCAAAGTTATATCAAATGTGTTCATGCATGTTAAACATTTAAAAAGGTATACTAATTTAATTTTTGTGTGATTTTGGATAACCTTTTCTCTTTTTCTGTGTAGATCATAAGATTTTTTTTTTTGGTAGATCATATTTGGCCCATTGAGTATTTTTATGTAATACATCATTCTGGGACTGAAATAACGCTGTGAAACATATACTTGTTACCCATCAACCCTTGTACAGCTCACTACAGCTGGTCTTATTTCTTGCACATGTCTCAACAGAATACAATGCCCACAAGGGGATATTGGACCTAAATGAAGAGGGTTTTTTTCATTCTGATTTGGAATGAGGCGTACTCACTGATAAGTAAAATAGAGTCATTGAGAGACAGAGTAAGCTTGGACTATAGGGCAATATCTTAAAATATCAGGAAGTTGGCTTGTGTGATATTTTTAGAATGACTAAGGCTTCAGTGGAGGAGAGAAGTAGGAGAACAATTTTCCACAGGGAGGGAAAGGGCAGCATGGTGCCTTCCTTCTGGGATTTAGGTCACAATAGCAATTAATGCTCTAGGGCAAGAAGCTCCCAAAGGATCTGTCAGTTCCACTTTGCCAGTGCAGCCACTGCCGCATTTTGTTAGTTCTGTGTGTGATAGCCCATTTGGTATAATCCATGAACTTACTCCCAGTGGTGTTTCTAAACTTATCTCAGGTGATTCCTGTGTCATCAAGCCCAAGAAGACAGGGACACAAAATTTCCATGGTCCACCACTTTGCTGAAGGAAGCATTATAGCAAGACAATCTTAGGTTAAAAGAAACTGGCCCATATCAACAGATACTAATTAATATATGAGAATTCTGAATAGGCATCAAAAAACGGTACATGTAAACAGGAACCTATAAAGGGACAGAATTATTATACATTTTCTTTTTAGGAAGTTTGGATTAGAGATGTACACTATAAATGCTGAAATCTTATCACCCTAAGGTAATGGGAAGTATAGTAAAATAATTCTATTTTCCCAAAGTTGGTGACTTAGGTATATTTTCACTGCAAGCCTTTGCTAATTCCAAACCTTTATGCTGGCAGAGAGACAGAATGAAACAAACATTTGGAAAGATAATTACTGCTAATTAAACATTGCAAATATGATTGGTGGATTCTGGATATTTTTCTGGAGAATGAGACATGTAGGCATCATTTTATGCTATGCATACTTTGTAGGTTTTCCAAATTAGAACTTCTTTTTCTTGTCTCAATTTAAAGGGAAAAGTAAAATTGAACTTATTGAAGTAGCCAGTTAGTAGAAGTAGGAAGTAGTTTAGATTGTTTTAAATTCATAACGTACTTACTGAGGTAGCCCAATAATATGTGGTACTGACAGTTGGGAATGGAAATGATACCTAAGTGCCAAGGCCTGGTTATTTCCTTCCTTGCAAAGGTAAGTTGAATATTTTGAAGTAATGGTCCATAAATCAGCAAAGGAAACAAAATGCAATTAAAAACTGGTGGGAGAACAATTGAACAAAAGCATTGGAAGACATCTCTGGACACCACACATGATGATCTTCTGTGTGGGACCCATGCAGTGAAGAGTCCCATTGTTTCTGGTTGAATTGTCTATGGGTCAGATCTCTCATCTTTTTCCTGATTAATAGTTGCCCATGGGTTCTTCAGGGTTTTAATGCTACTCTTAGAACAGGGATATTGGCGGGCTGTGGTAGAAAGGAAGGAGGAATAGTTCACATGGAATGATCCTAATGTATTGAAAAGCTACACCTTTCCTCCCAGGAATTCTACAGAAATGTAGGAAGTTTGATATAAACAGAACTCCTATCTGGTTAATCAAGCATTTGGATCTAAAGACATTCCAACAGACTGTTTGAATGATGTCTAATTCAATGACTCCAACATCTTTGCTTGAGAATTTACCTTTAGAGATATGTTAAACTTGATTTAAGATTGTAACTTTCTTCATATTCACTTCAAGACAAGTGAAAGGGGAAGTTTTAGAGAAGGGGTTATGTCTACTGCAAGACAGGCCTCTTGCAGAAAGTGACAGAGAACAGCATGAAGTTATTCAGCTCATAAAGGTGGGGTTAGAAGACAGACTCAGTAAAGGGAGGCTGAAACACCCAAAGTCAAGTGTAGTCTTTGTTATTTATACAAAAGCTAACCCTAACCCTTTCTAACAGCACTGATTTGCTTAGCCCTTTGTCAGGTAAGACAGTTAAGACATTGACAGTCCCCCTTTCATCTCAGGCCCTAATCTGAACAGACTCTTGTTTCTCTGTTTAGTCCCACATGTACCCATTCTCCTCTACTTTCCTTTATTTTGTTCAAGCCTTTAAAGGGAAGTTTAGTGGATAGGTAGGAGTAATAACGAGTCAGCTATAAAATTCTTAATGTGACCTATTTCTCTTTGATGTTATAAAATATTAGTTTTACTGAAAAGGCACTTGCTACAAAAGTAGGCAAGAAGAATTTTGTATTCCAGTGTACATTAACAAGAATTCTGTACCTTATTTTCTGTGCTGGACCATTAAGATGGGGCCTTAACTGTCAGCATTCCATGTACCTCTTTTATCTAGAAAATTTAAGGATCTCTATTCTAATTTGCTTTCTCTTAAATTCATATGCAAAAAAATTAATTCTAAATATCAGAAAATTGAAAAGATAAAAATATCAAGAACTAGGTACCATTTTATTGTCCTTCCCCAGCCTACTGAAGTAAGAAGAAATAAAAATCTACAAAAAGATCAAAGGTTTCTACTAAAGGGAGCCAGATTACTTTGTGGAGGAGACAGGAGAGAAGATCACATTTGCCTCTTTATGTACTGTAAAGCACAAGTCACTACTGTGAACACACACATTTCTGCAGCAGTGTTGCAGTACTTTCCATCAGCTATCTACATTTGGATTAAGTGTATGTGTGTGGAGTCATGAAATATGAGCCTGTTTCATATATGAAAGCTTTTCATGAAGTACCCAACATATGCTAGACAAAGTCAGGTTTCAACTCAGGTTCTGTGATCTTTCCACAGAGCCCTCTCTGTTCATAATCATACTTTTCAGAATTCACTTATGCATTTCATCACATTGGGTCTGTTGACAAATCTGGGGGAATTTTCAGTTGTGTCAACTCTGTTTTCATCATTTATTAAGTGCCATTGTCAACTACTATGCTCTTCTTGCTAGAGAATGAAGGGAACTGATTCACCAATAGAATTTCTAAAATTGCCCTTCATTATCTCATGTCTTAAAAGACCTCCTGAGAAATGTTACATATTTATTAGAGCACTGTTCATTCCCTGGAAACAGAGTAGATAAAGCATATTTGGGGCAAGTCTGCTATCTAGGCTTCATGAATGATCTAAAGGCTGATAGAGGGAAGGAAGGTCATACGCAGTATACTTTCAATGTTATATTATAGCTATTCACTTGTTTCTGTTTTTTCTGAATTTTCTGCAGATTAATAAACATCATATTTTTTAATGGAAGCAGAAAACCAGACATGGGTGAGTGAATTTATTCTCCTTGGCCTATCAAGTGACTGGGATATTCAAGTCTCACTCTTTGTCCTGTTCTTGATCATGTACCTGGTGACAGTGCTGGGGAACTTCCTCATTGTTCTTCTGATCAGACTTGATGGCAGACTCCACACTCCCATGTACTTCTTCCTCACCAACCTCTCTCTTGTGGATGTGTCTTATGCCACCAGCATAGTCCCTCAGCTGCTGGTGCATTTTCTCGCAGAACATAAAGCAATCCCATTTCTGAACTGTGCTGCTCAGTTATTTTTCTCCCTGGCTTTGGGTGGGATTGAGTTTGTTCTGCTGGCAGTGATGGCCTATGACCGCTACATGGCTGTGTGTGACCCCCTGAGGTACTTGGTCATTATGCATGCAGGACTGTGCTATAAGTTGGCTATCACATCTTGGGTCAGTGGCTCCATGAACTCTCTTCTGCACACTACTATTACATTTCAACTTCCCATGTGCACAAATAGGTATGTTGATCATGTGTCCTGTGAAGTTCTAGCTGTGGTCAGGCTGGCTTGTGTGGACACCTCCTCCAATGAAGTGGCCATCATGGTTTCTAGCATTGTGCTGCTGATGACCCCCTTCTTCCTGGTTCTCTTGTCCTACATACAGATCATCTCCACCATCCTGAAGATCCAGTCCAGAGAGGGGAGGAAGAAAGCCTTCCACACTTGTGCCTCTCACCTCACTGTGGTTGCCCTGTGCTATGGCATGGCCATTTTCACCTATACTCAGCCCCACTCTGGCCCTTCAGTCCTGGGAGAAAAGCTGATCTCTCTTTTCTATGCTATTTTAACTCCCATGCTGAACCCTATGATTTATAGTCTAAGGAATAAAGAGGTAATAGGAGCCTGGCAGAAATTATTAGGACGATTCTCTGGGTTAACATCAAAACTGGCCTCTTGGTGACTCATGAGCATCACTGGAGAACTGAGCTCCGCCTCAGTGTTTACCCAGCTGAAATAACCTGACGACATGCATCACCTGGCAACCAGGAAGCAAATGATGTAACATGGTATTGTTATGTGGGAGGCAGAATGGCTGTTTTGGGGTGAGAATGTGGGCATGCTATGTCATAGCAGCACATTAGTGAGTTAAACACTGCTCTCCTAGAATTCCACACTTATGCATATCTATTCCTTTGTTGCAACAATAACTGGAAAAATATGTTTTGTTTGCCACATTGTTTGTAACCATGAACCTCTTCATGGATCTTATATTGTAGACCACATGTGCTTATGCTGACACATTTTGACAAAGTGTACAGTGTTTCCAATGGAAACAATGTGAATTTTAATATTCCATCGATTAAATCAACGTGTGGTGTATGTAGCCACATGATTTGTGCAGGACCTACTAACTGTGGATATAATGCCTTTCTGTGACCACTAAATGTGACCACTGGAGATTATCCAATGAAGGTTTGTTGTGCTCCAATTAGAGTATAAGCAAAGGTTATGTGTGTACCCAAAGAATTACTGACCAAGGAAAAGCTAAACTTCAGGCACTAATTGACCACACTCAATAAGTATAAGAAGTGTTATATAAGAGGTATTTTTTTAAATGTTAAGTTTTCCAATCTCTGAAAGAGCCACAAACTCTTTTTATTTTTAGAAACAAAATAAAAACCTAAATTATGAGGTGATGCAGAAAAATGTCAAAGACGTTGCTGTAAGAAAGAAAGCTTATAATTAATGTTAAATTTTAGTATGGACTTGGGATAATCAGCATAGGTAAGATAGCTGTGTTCATGTTACTTCTAATGTGTTAAGCCTTTATGTTATCCTCCCACACAAAATAGGCACTGTCAAATATCTGTAAGGTTAGTGAACTGGGCTTGAGGGTGGACTTATTCTCTGAAGAAAAAAAACGCAAGCAATACAAAGGAGTGAAAATATATAAGTGAACAGTGGTAAAAAATTAGAATGAAGAGAAAATATCTATGTAGTTTCTCCCCAACTTCTCTTATTTAAGTCAATGGACTTACAGTTCTTACTTATCAACATACTAGCACAGAATCCAAGGGTTCAAATAATTGCAAACTCATATAATCTAAAGCTCATTGATGTTTGAATTTTACCTTAAGAGTAATGCAATCTGAAATCTTGTAAGATAGGCAGGCTTCCCAAACAGTGTCAAGGGTACCTTAATAAATATTTGCTCATATTCATGAACTGTTATGCACCAGTGTAAATGAATGGTTTCTTTTCTTTTCTTCTTTTTTGGTACCTCGGGTCCTTGAGCTTGCCAGGCAGCCCACCGAACCGCTGAGCTTAGTCCCCGGCCCAATGAATGGTTTCTTTAGACAAGAGCATACATGCATCAAAGGAATGACAGATAATGAAGCATTTTATTACACTTTGATAAGTGTTAAAATAAGACTAAGTCCACTTGGGTGATGACAGAAGTCTTCCTATGAAAGTGGGCTTAGGTTGAGACTAGAACTTTGAGAACCAATTATCCGGATAACAAGAATCCCAACAAAGAAATTTGAGGAAACTTGTTGCAGTGATATGAATTCTATGAAGTCTTCAGTTGGGTATCCTGTATAGATGGTCATGGCATCAGCCAAATGAGGATACTTCCTATCCATATCCCTTTTATTTCTTTCTTTTGTCTTACTGCTCTAGCCAATGTTTCAAGAGCTATGTTGAACAGAAGTGGTGATAGTAGACATTCTCATCTTGCTCCTAATTTTAGAGGAAAGCTGTCAGAGGGCACGCATGCAAATCCAGTGACGTGCAGTTTGACTGCAGGGTTAAGAAGAGAGATGCAGTGGGGATACATCAGGTGGGTAGATGTGGAAAGTTTCTGCAGGACAATGATGTCCAATTTGTTTTTTTTTTTTTTTTTTTTTGAGACAGGGTCTCACTATGTAGTTGAGACTGACCTGGAACTCACTGTGTAGCCCAGGCTGGTCTTGAACTCACAGCAATCCTCCTGCCTCAGCCTCCTGAGTGCTGGGATTACAGGCTTGCACCACCACACCTGACAATGTCCAATATCTTTAAATTTTATTATAATAGCAATGTGGAGCCAAGGGAGATATTTTAGCAGGAGTACAACTTGAAAAATTTTGTTTTGATTTATCACACTGATATATAAGACAGTAGAAGAAAAGACAAGAGCAAGGCATCAAGAAAGCAGATTGCTCCAGAGTTTGAGGCATTAGAGAAATTTGAACTATGGTAGAGCAAAGGGAAAGAAGAAAGTCAGGACAGATCATGTTGTTTAACAGGTTTCAAGCTGATGTGATGGCAATGCCTGTAAGTTCGGAACTCGCAGAGACTGGGGCACAAAGACTGTGAGTTCAAGCCCAATCTGCACAACTTAGAGACTTGTTGAGACCCTTTCTCAAGATGACAAAATAAGAAAAAAGCAGGGGGTGGAGCTCATTGCAAAGGTCCTGGGTTCAATCCCCTGTACCACACACACAGAGACACCCATAATATTTCACAGGAAACAATTAAAATTCCTATTTGAATATTATTCCTCTTCTAAAATGTTACAATTTTGTCTAAATATTCTGTAAGTTGTGTACCACGCTGGAAATTTTACCATTATAAACATACCCTACACATAATGGTATGGGAAAGAAATCAAAGAGGAAAAATCAGTAAAAAATTTAAATTTACATGACATATCAAGAAGGAAAATATATGAAGATGTTATATCCTTATTTTCATGACTGATCATATGTCATAGTGTTTGTGACTTTTCTCTACCAATCATCCTTTGATCTCTTTGCCTTTTAGCAGTTCCTCATCTTGTTTGGGAGTCTTTACATGAAGGGTTATTTAAATAGTCACTTTTCAGGAAGCAGGAATGCTGAGGATAAGCATCAGTTATGTAGTAATAGACTCTTATGGTCTCATATTTCATCTGTTAAATTTTATTTTTATCAGCCTTTTTTAGTACTGCAATTTCCCAGGATATTAAATTCTACATAAATTAAATTACTTGAGACTAAAGCCATTCTTAATTCTTAGCTGCTTGTGAAAGGCATTCCCAACAGAGAACAGGAAAGTATTTTTGGTTCAGAGCTAAATAAGATGAAATTCTAAATAATACAACCATTAAACAGAACTTCCAAAGATATTAGACACTAAAATGTATTTGAAAATAAAATTTTGTTTAGCAATTAATTACACTAAAAATGTCACTGTAATTTTTCTTAAAGAAAAACTATAATGCAGATAAATTTACATTTTATTGAAATAATTCCCATAACACAGACACATACACACATATCAATTGTCTACCAAGTCTCTGAAAATCACTTTAAACTACAGTTTTCTCCTAATTACCCTATTTACCATTGAAATTATTTTAAAAATATATAACTGAAATGTTTGTCCCACCTGTATAGCCTGGATGTTTAGGAGATCTTGTGAGTGTAATTTTATATTCTTTTGACCCTTTATCTCCTGTGAGACCTAGAGGCTTGATCAGCTTTAAGCTTACTTTTTTTTTTTTCTGGTTATAACATTTCCACACCCCTACAAGAGATGCACAGTGGTTTATTTTTGCTGTTGTTATATAACGTAGTTCAGGATTTCTTAACTGGGACAAGGCTCAGTTTACATTTTGAGCTGAATAATTATTTGGTATGGAGCTATCCTGTGTATGGTAGGATTATTTAGCAACATTCCTCACTTCTTCCTGCTAGAAGGCAGTAGGTTCCAACCCATCAGGAATTGCAGTGCTCCTGCAAGAGAGCTACTGACCTAAGCCCAATAATTTGTTAGGCCTGCAGGATGGTAGAATCTGTCATCTCTTATTCCTTTTGTCTGGAACACATTTACAAATACAGAAACCTCCTCTTCAACAGTAGTTCATCTGCATGAGGCACAGTTGGTATGGGAAAGGCAGAATAGAATTTTTATTTTTTTCTTTTCTTTACCATTTTTTAATACCACAAAAGCAATGGGATCTTTTCATAGCCTTCATGAGTTCATCACTCAAGTTTATTAGTTTGTTGCTGTTATTATCTTGATATTTAAATTATTCTGCATTTAGTGAATGAAGCCACTGTTTCCTATAACTGAAATAAGAAAATAGTTCTTGTGACTGAATACAAAAATATTACCTTCCAGTTCTGAGTGTCAAAATCCACTGAGGCAAAATCAAGGTGTCTACCGGGCTATATTTCTTTAGGCTTTAGGGAACAAACTCCTTTCTTGCTTTTCCCTCTTTCCTCAGGTGCCTCCATAAAATGGTTCATGGCTCCTTCCTTTATCTTCAAGGATATCAGCCTGGCAAGCTTCTCTCTGACTGATCCCCTACATTCATCATCACACCTCTTTCTCCCAGCTCTGATCATAAGGACCCTTGTGATTGCAGTGGGATCACCCACACTATCCAAGAAAATCTTCCCATTTTAAATTCCTTTATTTGAGTATTTGCAAGTCCCTTTTATCATGTCAGGCAGCACAGTCACAGATTCTGAGGATTAGGACATAGATAACATTATTTAGTGTACTGTAGCCTAGAGATCATTATTTAGTGTACTTACTGTAGCCTACATAAAGTGGCTACTTCGGTGTTTTTTTTTTTAAACATACAGCATTAGATTATCAGTGGTAATACTTCAACAGTGATCTCATCTCACTTCCTAGCATCATACAGTACTGTAGTCCTACCTTTTATATTCCCTGCCATTTATATTATTGGAATGATTTCTCAAAGAACACCTGTTTCCTTTTTAGTGGAAGATGGCATTTAGTGACCACCATCTGTGTACGTTACTCAACTGGAGGTGTAGGGTTAGTACTGATACTGGGAAGATGAACAGTCAGTTATGGTATTACCTGAGTTAGTCTTGGATAGACAGAGTCTAACTTGCTGAATCAATAGATGGTCTTCAGTGATGCCAGCAGAACCACTGCTGTGCTTATGAAGTGTGGTTATCTGACACCTAGGATATGTGAGTATTTTTGATATTTGAAAAACTTCACATCTTCATCAAATATTAGGAAGTAATGAGCCAACACTCCACTTTTCTTACTGTGCTTTTGATAAACCTAAACTATATGTTAATATTAATACATAATAATATTTATTATTAAATATTAAAAGCAAATGCTTTGTTATTAATGAATCACTTATATAGAGCAAAAGTCATTCTATTTGCACAATTCTTTTTTAAAAAAACCACCTTTTTCTCTACAGTTTTACACTCACAGAAAAACTGAACAGAGTTCCCACATACTCCCACCTCCTTCTTCACCGTGGATAGTCTCCTCATTACCAACATCCATCACCAGCATGATATATATTTTTTGTTTTGTTTTGTTATACTGGGAATTGAACTCGGGACCTTGTGCTTTTGAGGCAGGCAGTGATACCACTGGTCTGCATCCCCGACTGTATGATATATTTTTAATTACTTGATTTTAAATGACAAATTATAAGTAGAGAAACATGTACTAATACCCAGCTAAGCAAACTTCCAGTGGCAAATAATACTTTTCACCCTAAGGAATTATAAACCAAATAAACTACTTCTCTGGAAGCAGTTTAGTTAAACTGCATGCAAAATTCTTGGGAGAAAGTATTTTGCTATATTTTGGCTATGTTTGCAATTTCATAAGCATAAATTGACAATTAATATTAATGTGCCTGTCACAAGGGCTTCTTGAAGGAATTAATGAAATTTCTACATAAACATCTATTATTAGATGGCCTTTCTGGGCAGAACAGAGAATGTTTCTTTCTGATTTGCAGAACAACAAGAACTGCAAGATGTATGGGGGCTTCACAGGAAAGAGAAACAGTGAAAAAGATTGCAATTGATTATGATACTCTTCATTCAGCTGAGTTGAGATGTGGTATTATACTCATTGAAGACTTCAGATGAAATACTTGTAAACTGTAATGTTAGAATAAAGTGTTGTATTGGGAGATAAATGTCTACCGAATAAATTCTTGCAGGAATTGTCACATCTTATTCCATCAGAAATACCCAAAGGTCTTAAAACAATTTTGTGCACTTTGCATAGTTTCTATTTCAGTAATTCTGGGTTGAACGAAGCCTTTCACATCTTGAAGTCACTATATGGCTCTCATGAATAGTGAGGAGACCATTGTACTAATAACAGAAAAGGGTGCATCTGAGAGGTGTTTCAGAGTGTGAGTTTATTTACAGAGGTTAAATGAGAAAAAGTGACAGCCAATGCTGGAGAGCCTTCATTAAAACTTTGGAATTTATTTTGCAGATGAATGGTGAAAAGCACTAGTGATGTAAGCATCTGGATATTGTGACCCAAACTCATCTTTAATGGAATTTTATCAGCTTGCTGCAGGGAAAATATTCAACTAATTCTTCTATAGGACTTTATAATTCTTATATAGGACTTTAGAAATTGGGATGAAGAAAGAAAAACATATGTACTGTGCCTGTGTATTGTCTAGAATATTCGAAAACCTATGTCAAAAGTATTGTAACACCAGGAGCCATGGTAAGATGGCTGAATAAATTATTATGGATGTTTTTTCTATGATACCCAGGATCAAACTCAAGATCTTGCACTTGCGAGGCAGGCACAGTGTCACTGAACTAATTCCCCAGCCCTCGGAGGTTTTGATGGTACATTGGATGGGTATGGGCGATGAATGGAGATTAGGGAAATAGATGAACTGACAGGTGGGCGACAGGATGCAGCGTTGTGTACAGGAGAAAATGAATGAGTATTGCGATGGTGATATACAGTTGGGTGAGTGAGTAGACACCTAGGTAAAGATGCTGAGGAATTAGTGAGTGTTTTATTTGGTAGATAAATAAATAAGTGGGAAAATGCTTACTAAAAGATGAGGCAGAAAGAATAAGACAGTGAACGCTAATGTAACCTGTTCTTTGAAATTACATTGAATCTCTTCATACAAAATAAAAATTTGAAGAGGTATACAAGTTAATCTTTTTTCATTATTTTGGTTAGCGCTCTTCTTTTTCTCATTTTACCCCATAGGTGATAATACTCTCATTTTGTAGATCTTTTTTAGAGTCTTAAACCTTTTCTTGCAATGTTATTATAATGGAACTTAAATAGCACTAAGACACATGTTCCGGTCATCCATCAACACTTGTAAAGCTCACAGCAGACCATTTTATTCTTTGCATGCAGCTCATCAGAATATAGTGTAACTAACATTCGTGTCTCTAGAATGACAAGTAAGGGAATCCTGGAAGTAAAGGGAATGGCTTCTTTTAAACCCACTTGGACTCAAGCACATTGACTTCTCACTAAAATAGAGGTGTTGAGAGACAAAGTCAGTTTGTGCTATAGCAGAATATCCTATTTTTATTTATTTTTTTTAGAATGACCTAAAGCATTAGTGGGGTTTTGGTGGTGAGAAGATGAAGGAGAACAGCTTTCCACAGGGAGAAGAAGGGCAGTGTGGTGGCACTGGCTTTGAGATTTGGAAGGTATGACAGCAATTAACACTCTGAGGCATGAAGTCTTATGGGATTTTTCAACTTCACGTTGCCAGTGAAGCCACTGCCACACTTTATTATTTCTCAGTGTGATACCATTTGGGATCACCCACGAAGTTCCTCCCGGCACTGTTTCTAAACTGAATCATAGAGCCCAAGAAGACTGGGACAGTAAATCTCCATGGTCCACCAACTGTTGAAGGAAGCACTTTATGAAGATAACGTTAGCTTAAAAGAAACAGGACCATATCAATAGATATTGATGAATATATGACAATTCCTAATAGAGGTGTCAAAAGAGAGTTGGATTAAGCAAGAATTTATAGAGTGTCAGAGTTAGTACCCCTTAGCTTTTTTAGGGACTTTGAATTAGAGATAACAATTATGAATGCTGAAATCTTATCACCCTAATGTTGCATCAAGTGCAGCAGAATAATTCTAGTTTCCAGAGACTGAAGGATTACATACATTTAAGTACTGTAGCAATTTACCAATTCCAAACCTCAATATTGACAGAGAAAAAGAGAAAAAGTAAAACAAACATTGGGAAGGGGAATTATGACTCATTCAAAATTGGAAATGTGATGGATGGATTCTGTATCACTTTTGGAAAAGACACTTAGGGGAGAAGCCTTAGTTATGAAGACATTTAGTTAGGTATTGACATTCATAAACATGTTACATTTCCAAGAAAGATCAACTGTCAATTGTACAAGTATTGCTTTTTCACAATAGAAATAATTAAAATGTGGATGATTAAATGTATTGTCAAAGTCACATAGAATTCATTGTATGAAAAGAAACTGGAATTGAGATCTCCTAACTCTCCTATCAGGACTGATTTTTCTCCAAAGAGTTGTAGTAATGTACTGTGGAGACTTGCTAGAGGGAAGGAATTTGATTGTGAAAGAATACACAACAACTAGGGGCCAGGGATCTAGCTCAGTGGTTTGGTGGCCTGCCTTGCAAGCGCAAGGACCCGAGTTCAATCCCTGGCACCAAAAAAAAATAAAAAACAAAAAACAACAAAAAAAACCCCCAACAACAACAACATATCAAGAGCAAGAGATAAAGAGAAGTAAAACACTTACAGGATGAAGCCATGTTAAAATAAATCACCAAAGGTTAATTTCAAAGGTTAATTGCATCTGTTTAAGAAACAGGTTCTCAGTAATTGGTCTCAGATTATGGGAAAAGCCAGAGAAAAAGTAACTAATAAGACTCTGAAGAAGAAAAAGTAATTGTTCTCTCAGAATTAAAAATAAGTTTTGGTATATTCCACACATAAGTGACCATGGGATTCTCCAGGTCCAAATGTCAGGATAATGGAAATAACTACTGTCTGTGATGAAAGCACTCTGTGTACACACCAGTTAAATGGTAGCCATGGGTCAGAGTCCTCTCTCTCTTAGTAAAAATGCCATTTGCATTGTCAGGACAGCTACATAAAGGTAAGGTTTTGTTCTATTTTGACTAGCATGAAAGATAAATTTCTGTAGGTTGTTTGTCTTATTTTCATGGGTTGTTCTTTTGAATTCGGGACTCTATTTATCCCAACTAAGAGTGTAAAGGACTAACATAAGGAAGCTAAATATGACTAAGACTCAATGATGTATTACAGAGATGAGGTGTAAACAAAATTTCCCATGAAAAAGCTTTTGGTATTTAATCCCTTTGGTATTGACCATCATGTACATAATGAGATAGGGCTTCATTCTTGTGGTATAGGGCTCACACTTAAGCCATGCTTAATTTTGGATTTTAGAAGCAAATCAAAAGAATACAATCATCTACTCTTTTAATTGATATAATACTAGAAAAGTTATTTCTCATCTAGATAAAGGACCAGAGAAACCCTTTTATACTGTGCATTCCTTAGAGGTTAAAAAAAAAAACTGGGGGAAAAATAGACACAAGTCATGGAAGCAGCCAGCCAATAGAAGTACCTCTACTACCTCCTCCTCGTCCTCGTCCTCCTCCTTGTCCTCCTCATCCTCATCCTCCTCCTCCTCCATCTTTGATGGAGGAAACGGTCCTCCTCTATTAAGGGTGGTCATCCACTTAGACCCAGTGCACAGCTTCGGGAGGGACGCACATGAAGTGCTGAGGGAGAAAGGGGACACCCGCCTAGCCAGCCAGATCAGCAGGGTCAATGGGGTGACAGATGTTGCAGCCAGATCACCCTCGCATCCTGTCATCTTTTCCTTGATGTGTGGTTTCACATGACTTGTTCCAGGTCTTACTGTTACTCTTGGAGCAGGGATATTGGCAGGGTATCATTGAGGGCCTAAGGGTAGTTCATATAGAGAGGTCGTACTGTTATCTGAAACTATGCCTTCCCTCTCAGGCATTCTGCAGAGATTTAGGGAGCTTTTCATTAATGGGACTCTTATCATCTGCTCAAGTTTAAATAAATTATAACTTACTTTGGGTGCGGCCCCATTTCATGATTCCAGAGTACCAGATGTCAACAGCAAATATCACCAAATTATTGCCTGACAACAGTGTACCATTAGACATATGTCCAACTTGATTTGAGACTGACTTCCTTGATTTTTCCTTTTAAAATGAAGAAAGGAAAAGTTTTAGAGCAGAGGCCTTGTCGTTAAAAGGCAGGTCTGGTGCAGAGGGCTGCAGAAAATGGTATGATGTTTCTTAGCTCACCAGTGAAGGGTTAGAAAACAGACTGACCCTAAGAGAGGTGGGGGTGTCTGAGGCAAACTTTATCTCCTCTACCCACATAAAAATAATTCAGGTTTTACATCAGCTAAAGAATTATTGAGTGAATTTCTCATTCCATCTCTTCTTCAGGAAACACGCATCACCTGCATATTCTCTAATGTATTCAAATGTTGAAAACAGTGAATAAGAAAGATGAGTAACTTTAGCAGTAGAATATTTTAGAAATAATATCTTATATGTTAAAATTCAGAACAAATTTTTACAATAAAGTATAACAGATTATATAGAATCAACAAATAGATTTGATTTGTTTAAAGAAAGATTATAGTTGATTAAAATTAAAATTTTGAATTTGGCATATTGTGTCATGTAAAAGGAGTGTAGGAAGAACCTGAACACCTATTTTCTCTTTTTGATAAAAGAATATTTCTGTCTTGATGTTTTCTGCAACTGATAATTACTGCATAAAGGGAGAAGGCACATGGAGGAACTTTTAATTAGAGCCAAACAAAAGTAATCCTTTAACGGAGAAAATTTAATCTTTGCTGTCATTTCCTCCTCCTTGACTCATGTGATTTTCATGCTGTTCACGTCTGAATCTCTTTGTTTTCTACTCACCGGTAGCCTATTGTACAGGACCAGTATCAGCTGCCATACCAGTTCACCAAAAGTTTGATTAGTTCACGTTGTAAACCTCCCATTTGGTAGTATTTTTTCTTTTTTTTAGATTTTGCAAAACGAACAGTGATCATCATAAACATGAGTACTAGCCATTAGTGACAGAGTTTTGAGGAGATGATTTTTCATGGAGTAGTTCAAGCTATGTACCCTATGTTATAATATTTGATTCCCTTTCCACTATGGTCACAGTCATTACCCTGCCCTTCCACAATTCATAAAACATCTTCAAGAGGAAGCTCTTTCTTCATGTGCTTATGTCTAAGGAGATGAACCTCCTGGGCATGTCGTTTTTTTCACTACTGAGTTCTGAGCAGGCAGCATAAATTGTTTATTTTTCAATAGAAAATGGAAATTCAAAGCATATACAGAGATGTCTGGCTTGAGGTTTAAGTAGGAGGCTGATATAACCCAAAGATGGTGAACTAAATTTTTATTGTTTATTAAAGGAGCACTAGATGCCTACAAAACAAGTAGTAAGTAATGTAGATGGAGGTAAATATTGAAAAAAAAATTAAAAGTCATTCTTAGACTCGAGGACAAATGACAGCATTGACTGGTAAGGCTTCAACATGGGTTTAAAACATCAACTGCAGCCCTTAACCTGTGTTAAGAAGTATTGGTTGACTCATTTGTAGCAACAGATGGAGCCAATATTTTCACAATTTTTTCTTTGTTGATTGAGTTCTATGAGTAAGGAGGGTTTAGAGAGACGTGTAGAACCTACAAACTAATTATATTTTAAAAGGCCAAACTCTGGCTTCCTGATAGGAGAGACTAGATGTGAACCACATGATCTGGCAGATAGTTCATTCATCATGAAATAGTAGTAGAAACACAATTAAATTTAGCTGGAAGATGAACCCAGAGCAATCTGGATTTGGCTTTAACTGAAGGTATGTTAAAATCACCTGAACAACCCCATCATTTATCCTTTGTTAGGCTTTCAAACATACATATTTCAATTTTACTTATTTTCTATGTTGCACTAAAAAATTCTACAAGGATAAAGAGAGGGTTATTTAACTATTAATTTTTTGAAACGTGTAAATCAATCAATCTATTGGTCAATCAATCAATGGGTTTAAAATAATCAGTTAACATATCAGTGAAAAGTATTAAACATAAGCAGTTTATTTTAGTAAAATAGACTCTAAAACACAGCATAATAATTAACTTTTGTAACTTTTGTAAAATCAAGGTAACAGAACAAGACTAGATTATGGAATGTGTAAAAAGTTTCTAGGATAATTTAATTTTAAAAATAGACATTATAGGCTTGTTTGCTCATGAAAATGATGTGAATATATTTATATTTTGCATGGAATTAGGTTTTGAAGAAAACATTATGGAAGAGTTTATAAAAATAGTGTATAACTGAACCATGGATGAGATGATCATCTCTGGACATATTGTTTTATTTTGTCCTTTATCAGATAAGAGAGTTGAAACATTGACAGTTTCCCCTTTCAGCCTAGATCCTAGACTGAAACAGCCTGTCTGTTATTTCTGCATGCTTTGTCTCCTGTTTTCTATTATTTTGTTCACTCTAGTGCAAGGAATTTTAGTGAACAGGCAAATATGGAGTAATAATAGCAATCAGTTATAAGACAATTTAAAGAGACCTGGTTCCATTTGGTGTTTAAAATTTATTTTATGACATATTACTTTACCGTGAAAACACCTGCTTCACAAAAGTAGTCAGAGGGTAATTTTCATTCCAAAGTACATCTGTAAGAATTCATACCTTATTCTGCATCCTGGAAAATGAAGATGGGGCCTTAAATGGTGGCTTTCCCTTTATCCCTTTAACCTAGGACAGTTAAATATTCTTTCCTTTTTTTTAAACTCACATTTACAGAAAAGATTCTTAACAGCAGCAAGTAGAAAAGAAAAATACCTAGAGCTAGATACCATTAAAATATCCTTCCTTAGTCCATAGACATCTATCAAAGCCTCTCTAAAATATAAATGTTTCTGTTATGAGTTGCCAACTTATCTACCTTTGTGGGGGAAATGGGAGAGGAAATTACAGTTGCTTCTCTATGGTTCCTAATGAAGAGGTTGTTACTATAAAAACCCACAGTACTGCAGTGGTACCACCAGAAATCATTTACAAGTACTTCCACCAGCTTTAATATTTGAGCTTAAATGTACTTGTAAGTTAGTGAAAGTATGCTTCTTTTATACAATAATACTTACAATTAAATATAAATCACATTCCTACCAAATAAAGGCAAGTTTAAATTTTAGGTCTGTGATTCTAGATCTTTTCTCAAAACCCTCCTTCTTCAAAACCGTTCTTTTTGTAATTTATTAATTCACTCATGCACTGTCAAGATATGTCTAAGTGACATCTTCTAGCTAGTTTTTAAACTTTCCAACTTTGTCTTCTTCATCTTCATTATTGTTGATCATTGCCAACTTCTATGCTCTCCTTGTTCAATAAAGAAGGTAGAGATAGAACTGCAATTCCCCTGCATTTCCTCCAGGCCTTAACTGACTACCCAACGCATGTCATTATTTGGGCACTGGTCTCTCTTTCACTCTCTCTGAAGCAGTAGATAAAGCATATCTGGATAAAGACTGTCATTATTATCTTGGCCTCATGAATGATCCAAAGACTGACAATAGAGGCTGGCAAGTCTTACACAGTATATTCGTTTTTGGAGAGTTGTGGGCATAGAATCCTGGGCCTTTTCCCTGAGCTACTTCTTCAGCTCTTTTATTAGTATTCATCTGAGACAGATTCTCTCTGAGTTGCTCAGTTGCTTTGACTGAGCTTGAGCCTTCAGTTCTCCTGCCTTGGTTTACCAGAATGCTGGCATTACAAGCATGTGCCATCACACCAGGCTTATAGTATATATTCTTAAAAAGTTATTCTGCTGTTACTCAATTGCAATTTTGTTTTCTACCATCTCTGAAGATTATTAAACATCACATTTTGAATGGAAGCAGATAGCCACATGTGGTGAGTGAATTTATTCTCCTTGGCCTATCCAGTGACTGGGATATTCAAGTCTCACTCTTTGTCCTGTTCTTGATCATGTACCTGGTGACAGTGCTGGGGAACTTCCTCATTGTTCTTCTGATCAGACTTGATGGCAGACTCCACACTCCCATGTACTTCTTCCTCACCAACCTCTCCCTTCTGGATGTGCCTTATGCCACCAGCATAGTCCCTCGGCTGCTGGTGCATTTTCTTTTCTTTTTTTTAATTGAGTTTATTGGTACTTTTTAAGTATACAGTGCAGTTACATTCATCATTGGAATCTTGGACCTTTACATGTCAGATCTTGTTTCTCATTTTTTTCTCCATAACTCTGCCCTATCTTCACATCATCCACCCTCCCTATTTACAAAGACTTTGTTTCCATTTTCTCATTTTCTAATATTATTTATTGTCCCATATTTCCTTTTCCCTACCTTTCTCACTTCCCATATACCTTTAGCTCTTTTCTTCCTATTTCACTTTATCAGTTATACAATTTGGATCTTATTCACACTTTTAGTTTTTCACAGCAGAGAAACTACTCGATATTTACATGTGTGTGTCCTATTTACTTTACTGAAGAGTATGGCCTCAATATGCATCCATTTTTCTATGAATGACTCTAGTTTCTCATTCTTTATGGCTGAGTAGTGTTCCATTTTACAGAAATACCACATCTTCTTTACCCAGTCTCCAACTGATGAGCAATTGGGCTGTTTCCAAGTTTTAGCTATTACAAACTGTGCCACTATAAATATGGGTGCCCATATATCACTGTGGTATGCTTCTTTTAATTCTTTTGGAAAGATACCCAGCAGAGGGATGCCTGCATCAAATGAAATCTCTAATCCTAGTTCTTTGAGGTATTTCCATACTTTTTTCAGCTTTAATTGAGTTTATTGGTACATTTTAGGGATACAGTACAGTTACATTCATTGTTGGGATCTTGTACCTCTACATGACAAGTCTTTGTTCTCATTTTTTCCCCTTGTCCCTGCCCTCCCTTCACCCCCTCCTCCCCTCCCATCTGCAACCACTTTATTTCTATCTTTTCATTATCTCACATTATTTTCTTTTCCCTTTTTACCCTTCCCCTACCTGTCCCACCTTCCCCTACACCTTTAGCTCATTTCTTCCCATTTCTCAATGTCAGTAATCTTATTAGGATCTTCTTTATTATTGCAGATTATTCACACCAGAGAAACTATTCGGTATTTACACATGTTCCATATTAATTCCACAGTGGTGCAACAGTCTACACTACCAAAAACAATGAAGAATGGTTCCTTTCTCAGCACAAACCCTCCAGCATTTGATATTGGTTAATTTTTTGATAGCAGCCATTCTTTCTGGGGTGAGGTGGAATCTCAGTGTTGTTTTCATCTTCATCTCAAATGTTGAACATTGAGATTGTTGAACAATCTAGCAATGTTGAACATTTTTTCATATATTATTTACTGCTTTTACCTCTTTGTCTAAGAAAAGTCTGTTCATTTCAGATACCCATTTTTAAATCAGGTCTTCATATTTGAGGGGCCTGATTTTTTTTGTTTTCTATTTTTTTATTTTTTATTTTAACGAGTTTATTGCTACATTTGAGGGATACAATACATTTACATTTATTGTTGGGATCTTGTGATCTTGTACCTCTGCATGACGGGTCTTGATTCTCATTTATTTCCCCTTGTCCCTGCCCTTCCTTCACCCCTCCTCCCCTATCCATTTACAAACACTTTATTTCCATATTTTCATTTTCTCACATTTTTTTCTTTTCCTTTATTACCCTTCCCCTAGCCATCCCAACTTCCCTACACCTTTAGCCCTTTTCTTCCCATTTCGCAATGTCATTTATCTCACTAGGATCTTATGTACTATTACAGTTTATTCACATCAGAGAAACTATTTGGTATTTACATGTGTGACTTATTTATTTCACTTAGGAGTATAGCCTCAATATCTATCCATTTCCCTATGAATTAATCTAATTTCTCATTCTTTATGGCTGAATAGTATTCCATTTTATAGAAAAACCACATCTTCTTTATCCAGTTTCCAACTGATGGGCAAATGGGCTATTTCCAAGTTTTAGCTATTACAAACTGTGCCACTATAAACATGGGTGCACATACATTCCTGTGATATGGTTTTTTAATTCTTTTCAAAAGATACCCAGAGGAGTGATGGCTGGGTCAAATGGAACCTATAGACCCAGCTCTTTGAGGTATCTCCATATTGATTTTCATAGTGGTTGTACTAGTCTACACTCCCACCAACAATGGATAAGGGTTTCTTTCTCCCCACAGCCCCGACAACATTTGTTATTGGTTGATTTCTTGATAACAGCAATTCTTTGTGGGGTGAGGTGGAATCTCATTGTTGCTTTCATCTGCATTTCTCGAATGCCAGTGATGTGGAACGTTTTTTCATATATTTACTTGCTGCTTTTACTTCTTTGTCTGAGAAATGTCTGTTCATTTCGGATGCCCATTTTTGAATTGGGTCTTTATATTTGGGGGGGTGATTGTTTTGAGTTCTTTATATGTTCTAGATAATAGTCCTTTGTCTGAAGAGCAGCTGGTAAAAATTTTTACTACATTACAGTTTGTCTGTTAGTTCTGTTGGTGGTTTCTTTTGCAGTTCAGACGCTTTTTAATAAGATGAGATCCCAGTTTCTGCTAGTTGCTAGTTCTCATGCTACTGAGGATTTGTTCATTAAATCTTTTCCTATGCCAATGTCTTCAAGAGTTCTGCCTAACTTATCTTCCAGCAAGTTCAGTGTTTCTTTCTTAATATTTAGATCTTTAATCCACTTCGATTTTAGTTTACTGCATGGTGAAAGATAAGGGTCCAGTTTTAATCTTTCGCAGGTTGAAATCCAGTTTTTCCAACACCATTTATTATAGAGGCTATCTTTCGTCCAGTGAGGATGGTCAGCTCCTTTGTCAAAGATGATGTAGCTGAGTACATCTGGAGTTGTTTTTGTGTCTTCCAATCTGTTCCACTGATCCTC